GGTTCGGGGGGGGGGGGGTCGGGGTGTGTGTGTGGGGGAGACAGGTGGCAGGCTGGGTTTGGCCGGAGGGGCGGTGGGAGTCAGAGCCGCCAGGGAAAGGGGCGCTTTCCTCCTCAGGGCCTGTCCTGCAGCAGCGGGCCAAGGGGGGGGGGTGCCAAAAATATTTTGCTTTGGGCAGCAAAAAACCTAGATTCGGCCCTGTTCATAGCCCTAGTGCCCCCAGACCTCCCAAGTACAGGACAGGCAGCCAGTCTCCCCCTGCCTCCAAGTTCTGGGTGGTATGACCCCAGCGACTAGGATTCCCCCATTGGTGGGTGGCCCCAGGCACCCCAAGTCCCAGCCAGGGGGGGGGTGCCAAAAATATTTTGCTTTGGGCAGCAAAAAACCTAGATTCGGCCCTGTTCATAGCCCTAGTGCCCCCAGACCTCCCAAGTACAGGACAGGCAGCCAGTCTCCCCCTGCCTCCAAGTTCTGGGTGGTATGACCCCAGCGACTAGGATTCCCCCATTGGTGGGTGGCCCCAGGCACCCCAAGTCCCAGCCACCTTAGCCCCAGCTCAGCATGCTTCCCTGGAGGGGAGCAGCCTGCCTGGGCTGGAGTCAAGGGGGAAGAGCAAGAAGGAAGGGACCTCAGGGTGGAGCTTGGGTGAGGCCATTCTGAGCTACTTGGGGGAGGCCTTCCCCAGCCTTTGTGACATGCCGCTCCTGCATTGTTCTTATTGAGTTGCATCCTGGTTACTTCAAAACATTTCTCCGATCTTTCCATCTTATTTTAAATTTGACCCTGTTCTTCGAAGCACTTGACACCCCTCCCCCACCTCCAAACTTGGTATCACCCACAACCTTAGTAAGTGTACTCTCTGTGCCATAGTCTGAATAACTGATGAAGCTATTGAACAGGATTGGTCCTAGAACTGAACCCCGAGGACCCTTCCAGCTTGACTGCAGAACCCCAATAAATACTCTCAGGGAACGGTTGTCCGCCCAGTCATGAGCCCACATGACCATAGCTCCATTAAGGACGTATTGTTTATGGGATGGTCATGCAAAAAAGCACCAAAGCCCCAACTAAAATTAGGAAATACCAAATGTTCCACTTCCCACTATTCATGAGGCTTATTATTCTGTAAAAAGAAATCTATGATGTTTCTTTTACACTGTTTGTTTTTGAGATATCCATTCCCTTACTTATCACTTTCTCTTCTAGGTGTCTCCAAACAGATTCTTAAATCATTTACTCAGTTGAGTTTCCAGACTTCTGCAGATTACTTTGCTGTACTATCATTTGTCTACTAGGGCAGAATGGATGCCATCAGTTATATCTGCAATATCCTTGTGTGACGGCGCGTTGGGGGTCCCCCGTCTCCTGCACCCCGAAATGGCACAAACAGACTGCACCAGCCGGTGGAATAGAGGAAGTTTATTGCCTCTCCAGGATACAGCACAGCACAGATGTAATCTGGTCCCAGAGCTGGGCTAGGATGCCTCAGGCCCCCTTGAGATGGGGGGAGACTGGGCCCCTAAACTCCAGCCCCTTTCCCTAGGCTGTCTCCTCCATGCTCCCAGACCGCAACTAAACTCACTCTCTTCCAGCCCTGCCCCCCAGCCAGGGCAGCCTCCACCTTCCTTTGTTCCTCTCCATGGGGGGTATCTGGTTCAACCGGTTTGGCATCACCTTTGCATAGTGAGGTTTTCCCTGCTGGGTCTTGCTCCAGACAGCAGAGGTCACCACAGCCCAGCAGGTACCCCCACTACGTCACACCTTGTGAAATCAGCCAAGAAGTGGGCATGGTTTTTGACCACTAGATGGGCAGGCATGGGCAAAGAGTAAGAAGAGGATTAATGGAACTGACTTGGGTGCATACAATCTAAAACTGCAATATGACACGGACCTGTGTTTGCTCACTGCCTAAATCTTGTGAACTCACCTCCAGCATCGCAACGTGAGTGCAAAGTAAGTGTTGCCAAGCAGAGATGGTTGAATTTACATGAAGAGACTGTCAACAAAGGTGGCTTTCTAGGGGGTTGCTTTGTGCTACATGTCATTAGAGGTCCCATCAGAGCAGAAGAGAACACCTTGGAAAAAAGAAAACTCTTCAGAAAGGGGGCTGCTGACAATATAATTCTATTTCAGCAGAACTTCTCTGGGAGAGTTTCTTATTCCAAATGCACTCAAACAACTCACCAAAGAGACATTGCTTTAAACATTCATCCTTATCCCATGGAGCAGCAACTGTGATGGAAATGGGCATGATTTGCCCTACAGATAGAATACCCATAACAAATGGCCAGGTGAGTAAAGTTTTTCCAGGATTTGTCTATGAGAATACTCCGTGGTGAACCTCCCGCTCAAACCCTGGAGAAGGCAAGCTTCATAGAAGAGGGAGAGTGTTTGGTGGAGCTCAGGCTGAGAAGAACTTTCTAGTGACCAGTGAAACTTTCACCGTTCTCTAGAAGCAACGCAATGGTGTCCCAAAAGTTGCTCTGCCATTCAAGAAGTTGGAACTAGATTTTACATTGCTAAACAGGTAAGCATGATGGAACACCACCCCAGTGTGCTGGCCTCTCCTAATGCTGTAAACTAATTCAAGGCCTAAATTGTCCTTTCACTCCAGGACTTCAAATCTTGAAATTTGAAAAATGCCTGGTATTGACGGCTCCTCAGGAATGAATTTGGATGATCACAATTTTGAAGGAAGGAGGGAGAAACAAGGAAAACAAGAAGACCAACATTATCATGCAACAGAATCTTTAATCCAAGTGATATTTACAGCACACAGTGACAGGGATAAATACAAGAGGAGATAGAAGGTATTTCCAGTGGTTCCAGAAAGGCTTTGACATATCACCCGTCCCAGTGAGGCGTATTTCAGACAATGGGTTCTTTCAGTTGCGGTTACAGAGATTGACAAAGACGACCCCTTTTCAACAATTTTGAATCCCCTTTTTGCCCAGTGGAAAGAGAGAGAAAGCTAAACAAAAGCAGAGGACTGCGCAGCATCTCCATTCTACAATTGCTTCAGAGAACCTCAAAGAGAGGAGCTAAGTGTACGGATGGATGGAAAGGGTAGAACACATTGAGCCTGGTTTTCCTGGACAGCAATGTCTCTTCCCGTCAGGTACACGATCTTACAATGACAATTGGTGTAACTGAGGCGTTTCCTCAGGCCTCCATTTCTGTCACCCAGTGGGGTCAGTGGGAGCAGCCTGCGTGTCACTCAGAAAGAGCCCACAGGCCAGAAGGAGACTCAGCGCGGGGCTGGCAAAGCAGGAGCAGAAGGAGGTATGAAGCATGAGGGGAGCAATGCAGCCTGGCTCCCAGACCCAGGGGCTGAGCACACACAGCTTCCACTGAGCTCAGCTGGAGCCGGGTTTGCCCAGCACGTCTGAAAGCCAAGCCCCAAAGCTCGGGGGAATCTGTATCCAGCCGTTCATTTCCTGGGTCTGTCACGGATGGTCCTGCTGGGTTTAGCAAGGCGCACAGTTTCCACTGCGGTACCTGTGGCAGGACACCCCGGAACCGACTACTCCCCCGTAGCCATAATAGCCTGGGTAGCCGCAGTATCCCCCATTCCCATAATAGCCTGGGTAGCCGCAGTATCCCCCATTCCCATAAAAGCCGGGGTAGCCGCAGTATCCCCCATAACCGTAAAAGCCTGGGTATCCCCCGTAACCGTAACGGCCTCCATAACCATAACCCCCATAACCGAACAACCCTCCGTAACGGCCTCCCATATCTGTAACCACCTAGGTAACCTCTGAATCCCCCAAATTTCCTTAAACCATAAAATCCTCCATTGTCACCCAGTCCCCCCAAACCCAGTGAGCTCCCATAGCCGACTCCGAGCGCTGGATCTTCTACGGCTCCCACCGTGCTCTGCTGAGGGTGAGTCTCGAGAATTGGTCCTGGGAGAGTCACGTCAACTGGGGTGGGTATGATCGTCACGTGAGAATCGGGGCACTGCCGAACGCACGGCTCGTTGCAGCTGATGGAGATGGGGCTGGGCCGGGCCACCCCGCATTCTGGATAGCATAGGCTGGAGAAAGTCATCTCTGTGGGATGCAGGTGAACCTGGAACACACAGCAGCAAGCAGAGTCAAGAGAAGGGACAAGTGCCAGGGGCAGAAAGTCCTCAAAGCTGGGTGGGTCCTAAGAGTGAGAAGAGTGGACAGAAAACCTGTGTCTCTGGCTGTGCATTTGGTCCTATACATTCTTTCTACACCTGTTGCCCACTCCCACTAACACCACTGGCCCTTGGGAGTCCCTCTGGACTTTTTCTGAAAAGTCCGACTAGAATCCATGAAAGTATTTTTAGGCTGGACACCTGGGATTCTGTGTCCATTGGAGAGATTTCTAGAGGAGACCATTTCTGGGATGAAGGCGCTCACCTCCCTTTCTTGGAGGAGTTGACCTCCGCATGCCAGACGCTTGCATCCGGTATTACAATGTGACTCTTTGATTTTCCAAACCTTGGGAGTCACCGAAACTTGCTGAGGAATAAGGAGAAACACCTTCCACAGGCATTTCTGCTCAGTGGAACAAGGGAATTGCCCTTTGTCAGCTTTATCCAGTCTCCTCTCTCTGCTAATGAGGGTCTGTACCTGCTTCAAAATAACCCAAAGGTCCATTGAACTGACCATTTCTGGACTAACTTCTTCTTGATGCAGGTCAGTGAAAGAGCAATAAAGGATTTTCTGCACTAACTAAAAATATTTATATCCCCTAATTCTATTTCTCAGGAATTAAGTTTCCTCTGTCGTCCCTAAAATCCTCCCGATTAATCTCAGATTGGGAGTACTCTGCCACCTGCCATTGAAGAAGTCCATGAGATACTTATGGAAGACGGCCCTGATAAAGGTCACAGAAGGTAAAGGCTGGATTCGTTCTGAAATGAAAAGAGGCCCTACCATAATGTCCCTCAAATTCAAGAGCGAGCGAGTAGAATTGGACTTACCGGGTTCAGCGAGGAGATGAATTCCAGAGAAGTGTTTGGAAAAGCCCTGAGTCGTGATTGCTTTTATACAGTTCCTAGACAGCCCGGAGGCTCTGAGATGCCATGTGTGGAGGCTATACTAGGTCATTACCAAACAGACTTGATTGCCTTGTTAAGTTCTCCTTTTTATGGAGCTGTTTTCATTAGGGCTTGTGATTATTAGATTAATTTCAGCCTCAGTGGACGTGACATGCATGTTGCATCTTCAGCTTTCTGTCATGTTCAAGTTGTACGGGTCAGCGACTTTTCTTGTGTTTTTTGCACCAACTTTATTGGGGCTGCAACGAGATTGAGAGTCACGGTGATTCAGGGCAGTATGAGTTGCACACCTGGCTGTCAAAAAAGGATTCCAAAGTGGGCTTTTCAATGAGGGTCACTGGGCAGTTCATTCTACACCTGTCAGGAAGCAGGGAGCCATTTGTCTGCATTTTCCATTCCAAATGGGTCATATTAGGAAAAACCGTTTCTCTAGGAGGGTGGTGAAGCACTGGGATGGATTCCGTAGGGAGGAGGTGGAATGTCCATCCCTAGAGGTTTTTAAGTCCAGGCTTGACAAGGCCCTGGCTGGGATGATTGAGTTGGGGTTGGTCCTGCTTTTGGCAGGGGGCTGGACTCGATGACTCCTGAGATCTCTATCAGCCCTGGCATTCTATGATTCTATATCCAAGCCCCTTTGAAGTTGATGGGATTCATTCCATTACCTCTGGCGTACTTCTTATCAGGGCCCTTGCAGGAGGATGGTACAATGCCTAGTGAGAATTTTCACACTGGATAGATAAACTGGGTCTTACCAGGGGCTTGCGTGGAGCTCGTGCCTTTGTGGTGGCTCTGTGCCCAGGGGGCAACGTGGTGAGTAAAATCTGACCTAAAATTGGACCTCCCCTCGGGTAACCAGTGCTCTCTCAGAGGGCTGCCTGGAGCAGTTTGCTTAGGAGTTAAGAGGTAAGGAGATGGTGGAGGGGGGAAAGGAAGCTGAGCTCGTTCACTGAAAGGTTTTGAGGTAAGTCTTGGAACCTGACGTCTCTCAGAAACTGTCTCTCCCTCCACGAGCGACAACGGAGGAACTGTAAATGCATCAGGCCCAGCAGGGAGCCCAGGAGAGATGAAAATCTCACTTTGTAGGTGAGAGGAGATGGTCGCGGGGTGGGATTTGACACAACGTCTGGCCAGCCACAGGGCATGTTGCAGACAACATGTCTCAAGTGTGAGCGCTGTCCTCCAGGGTGGTCTCCTTGAGTATGGAAAGAGGGTGAAGTCTCTTTTTGTCATGATGAGGCTCTTTGAGGCTGAAGCCCCTGAGGAACAAGGCCCAACTGCCCTGCCCCGAAGGGAGGATGCCTGGGCCCCAGCACTGCAGCTGGACCACAGGACTGCCCAGGGCTGCCAAGGTCAGGACCAGGCCCGGAAGATTGGCAAGAGGCCTTACGACCACAACCTGGCCCTGAAGACCTGCCTGGATGGCCGGGCCCCAAAGACAAGACTAAGCTGTGGGGACCCCTGCCGCACCTGGACCCAGAACCCATGGACATGCTGCCAGCACCACGGACCCTGAGGAGCAGAGCCAGGTAGGCCGAGATCCCCGCTGACCTAGTGGCCTGGTTGGCGCATTGCGGGTAGATCCCCACGGACTTGGTAGTAGCCTGCACTGCCACTGCTAGGGCCTGGGCTGGGACCCGGGGGAATGGGAGGACCTGCGTCCCCCCCGATACCCCTCATCGTGAGTGGCGGGTTCCCCCTGTCGGAGTAAACCCCCCTGTGCTTGTCGACCAGAACAAAGAGACACGACCCTTTGCCCAGACTGCATCCAGGCCAGAGCCATTATTCGTTCTCAGCACCGCCCTGAGCGAGGGCCTGGGCATGGCGCTGGTTACTGTGCCCACAGACAGACCTGCATAAACAACAAGAAGTCCTGCGGCACCTAACAGAGTTATTGGAGCATGAGCTTTCGTAGGCAAAGACCCACTTTGTCAGAAGCACATTTGGCATCTTTGCCCACGAAAGCCAATGCTCCCATAAAGTTGTTAGTCTATAAGGAGCCGCAGGACTTCTCATTGTTTATGCAGATTCAGACTAACACGGCTCCCCCTCTGATACTAGTCACAGAAAGACCTGAGCCCTTAAACTGTGGGCGGCCCCAGCTCCAGAGGGGGTCTTGGGCTATTGCTGAAGAAGGTCTTATCCGTTATTCTGTAGCTTGGCCTGCCCTGAGCCCCGGCTGGGCCTGTGCCTTGGCCTAAGCCTCCAGGACTGTTGATACCCTTGTCCTGGGTGAGGGCCTGGACACCTGACTGCTAATTAGCCGGGCTATCTGCCTGAGCCCTCTACACTGTGGCAAGCCAGCCTTGAAACAGGGCCCGACTAGCTGAGGAGCTGGTCGGAGCACCAAGTCGTGAGGTAGCCTGGCCTCCCTCCAGACAGTGACCAGTACGGGAGAGGGGGCCCCTCGGTTCCCACTAAACACGTTTAAAAAAAGAGGCCAAATACAAAAGGACGTTCGTGTGTCTCTGGCAGTGACCTGGTTAAGAGGAGGACATTGGAGCCCGGCCTCCATTTTGTTTACGTGCCTCCGTGACTCAGGGCCGAGGTATTTCACCCTCCCTGGCCTTCATTGCTGTTCCAACCTAACAACCCTGTGCACGTCTGAAGCGCCTGTGCGGGTGCGGCCCTGAAACCTCCAGTTCTGAGGTGCTGAAGAGCTTCCAGCCGAAACCCCGTTTGAAAGGCCTCGTGAAAGAGGCGTATGGAGAGGTCGCTGGGGGTCACTGGCAGGAACAGAACAACACCCTGTCCCAGGCAGGGCTGTAGGAGGGTGGGACAAGCTGCTGAGGGCGCAAAAATGGGGAGCAAAAAAAAAGTCGGGGAGGAACCAGGAAAACCTGATGGGAGGATTCAGGGTTACAGCTTGCTTCTAAGACCAGCTCTGTAGGGGTGTCAGCACCAGAGCCCAGCGTCCTCAGAGCACCCCCCTTCTTCCGCTGTCCCTCAGGCCCATAGGCCTAGCATCCCACACCAATGCACTTTTTCAGGCAGGCAGACCCTAATGAAGGGGCAGGCAGGGCTCTGAATGCAGCAGGGCTCCTGCTGAGCATCCACATGGCACCGTAACACCTGGGGAAGCGGATGCCCTCGCTGGGGAGACAGTGGTTAGATCAGTAAGGGGGCAAACCGGGGGTGGGTGGGCAGGTCTAAGCGGCGATGGAGCACCAGCACCAGCTCCCTGCTGTGATGTGGGGAGCCCTGAGTCGAGCAGGCCAGAGTCAGGCAAGCTAGGGCCAGATCTGGCCCAGGGGCCCTGCCCGGAGGGGGAAGAAGAGACTCCTGGTGCACCCCCTTTGGCTGTGGGGGCAAAGTGCTGCCTGGAGGCTTTTCCCTCACCTCCTCGACTGGCTGGAATTGCTGCCTATCGGAGCAGCAGCGGGCAGTGCCTGGGAGCAGTGGGGGACATGGACCCATGTGTGTCCCTGGGGAGCTGTAAGTTTCCCCCTGTTTCCAGGACCCCACATTCCACCCGTTCCTGCACCTCCCTTCTGCCCAGACCCCACACCTTACTCTTTCCTACACCTTCCTCCTGCCCTGACCCCACTCCCCACCCGTGCCTGCACCTCCCTCCTGCCCAGACCCCACACTTCAAACCTTCTTCCTGGCAGCCCCTTCCTACACACTGAACCCCTCATATTTAGCTCCCCTCCAGAGCCTAGAGGAGTCTCAAAATCTGCTAGCTTGGGTCCCCCTAGGCTCTGG